CCGCCCTGCGCGCCCCCCCCTGCCGGGCTCGTGGAGGTCAACCTGCTTCTTCCTCTTCTCTGCCAGCCCTCCTCCTCCTCCTGTCGGCTGCTGGAGCAGCGTGGTGCTCCACGCAGGTGAGCAGGTGAGCGGTGCTCCGGGCTGTGTCCTGGGGCTGGGACACGGGGTTCGGCAGGCACTGGGACAGTTGGAGGGGAAAACACTCGCTTGCCCGCAGCGAGGAACTCGTCGTGGTGCCCGCGTCCTGCTCTGCTCCAGGCCTGGGACACGGGGGTGCCTGGGGGGTTTGGGCTGGGGCAGGCAGCCCTGGCTGCGATGGGCCATGCCTGCGTCCAGCCCCACGCCATGGCACGGCAGTCCCCAGTACAGGATGTGTCCGGCCATACGTGCTTCCTCTGCAGCGAGGAGATGTTTGTGCACAGCCGCCTCCGGTAACGGCTCTGGCCTTGCTGCCCCTTCCCACATCCTGCCAGAGCCTCAGCCCTGCGGGTCTGTGGGAGGCCAAGGACCGAGGACCGTGCTGTGGCAGGGTGAGTCCCTCTGCTGCTCCCTTTACCCTCACCCGTGTGGAAGAGGGCAGAGACGATGGGGTGGTTCACCCCGGGATGAGCCGGGCCAAACCGCTGGACCCCCATTTCCCCACCCAAGAGGGCTGCAGCCCTGAACCCAGTGGCCATGGGGTTGTGTGGGAGCAGTCCCAGCCTGGCTGGGGCAGAGGTGGCCCTGCAAGCCCTGGCTCCTCGGGGCTGGCGTGCTGGCTGCCCAGGGACCCTGGGGTCCTGCTCAGGGACAGGAGCCCCGAATGACCTGGCAGAGCAGAGGGAGGAGGCTGCACTGAACGTGAGACCTGGCTCCTGCTGCGGGCAGCAGCATTCCTGCCCAGGGTAGGGCTGTGAGGCATCGGGCGCTGGCAATGACCCTGTGTGCCCCAAGGGGCCGTGGCCAGGTCACCAAACCCCTCCTGCACCCGAAGGCGAGCTGGGGGGATGCAGCATGTGCAGGGACGTGGAGGGCAGGGGCTGCCCGGGGGCTCAGTGTTCTCCTGTCTGAGGTGCCTGCATGGTCTTGAGATGGGAGATGTGGCTGGGTCTTGGGGCTGTCTCCTGTCTCCTGCGGCTCCATCGCCTGTCCCCAGCCAGGCTGTGCTTTGGCACCGATGGGTGCTGTATTTTGCTGAGCTCGGCCAGGGTTTGCTTGCCGGAGTGTGTCCCCCAACTCCAGGGGCCCCTCCCCGGCAACAAGGCGGAGGGGAGCAGGCTGATGGAGCCTGGCACCGGCCCAGCCCCTCTGCAAGTACCTGCTGTAAAGTAGACAAATGTTTACCCTCACCCTGCCAAGCACTGGACGAGCCTGAGTCCCGGCCCGGTGCCCAGGCTGTGCTGGGTCACTCCCTGAGCGGAGAGACCCTGGGGCCTGGCTGCCTCGGGGCACTGCACCCGGCAAACCCGTCTGTGCCACGACCACAGGCCCACAGGTTGCCCACAAGGACTGGGATGTCCCTGAACCCACTGCTGCTGGAGCAGGGGGTGCCAGGTGGGGCTGGGGCACAGGGTGCTGGGCTAGGGGGCTGAGTGGGGGGCACCCCTAAGGAGGGACACCGTTCCTGGTGTGCCTGGGTGCTCTGGGTACTGCAGGGAGGGGGCACAGCCTGGCTTGGCTGCTGATGGGTGATGGTTTGTCCCCTTTCCAGCCACCCCCCGGAATAAGCATGCTGGCCAAGGCTGGTGTGAGGGAGGGGACGCCCAGCAGGACCCCAGGGGGGCTCCAGGGTGTAGGGGCCAGGCAGGCAGGGGCGGTTCGTCCCCAGCAGCGGGGCACCGCGGTCCCCAGGCTGTGTGCGGCTGGCAGGCTGCCTCTGGCGCACATCCCCGACTAACGTCTCCCAGCTGGGGTGGTGCCCCAGGGG